ATTTGACATTTAAAAAGTAAACACAGCATTGGAACTAAAGCCAGGAGAACTTAAGCAGCAGAGACACAGCAGAAACTCTACTTGTCAATGCTAGACAGACTGCAAGCAAACAGACCCAGGGAGAAACATCTCCTCACCAGTGGCCTTGAGTGCCGCACTCCGTGTACCTTAATAATACACTCCCCTTTCCTTTCTCCATCTACGATATATACTATCGCTCTGTTCCCAAACAGCTCATTACTTTACACCCTCTGACTCGACACGCACCCCAAAAGCTATGTATACATCTCCCCCTCATTAGCTATCATCTCCCTACTATACTTGCTCTCCATCACGCACTCCCTGTTGACACCAAACACAAGGACTTGCTGACCTACTAGCTCAGCATTCTGCTTCCACTGCTCCTCACTGGTGTTATCACCCAACTGTGCCCCCTTGCCAGACACTTTGCAACAGGCCACACGAGCCCCCGTCCATTCCGGCATAGGCGCGAGCCTGCCGCTCAGATTTCTAAATCCTGCACCACCCACTGACGACAGGCCCTAACTGCGCCCTACCAACACCTAGCCCACTTCACCTCCAGACTTGCCTGAGGCCTCAGCTAATCAGCACCCAATTCCACTCATACCAACCGCCCCTGCTCAACTTGAACACATAAAGACTTGAACCCATTGTTGAAAGCCATCCAACAAAACACACGAGAGTACCACTTCTGGCACACTTCGAGACTTCTACAGCACACCCAGCTGCCCCTGTCGAGAAACCGATCCATAACTCACACTCTAGATCCCCCTCCCGCTTCGCTCTCCTCCTTAATTTCCAGCCATAGCCCATGAAGACAATATTGAAGAGATACACTCTCTGCCACGCTGTAACTTATATCGGACAACCGACTCCATCCCGCACCAACATCACTATTCAGCCCCCATCGCGATCCTTGGACACCTCCCCCAGTAATGTCCTCTTCCACTCACTCCTTCTTCATTTATCCTCTCACATCCGTTCCCAAATATCCCATGTCACTCAGCTATCTCCTCTAACTCAACTCTCTCCTCCCACACAATTGTATATTGTGTCCTCACTGCTTCCTCACCCCTCTACGGCACGCCACCACCTCCTCCTATTACTCCACTCTCCCACTGACCCGAACACCATCCACTAGTAGTTTCTCACTCTCCTGCACATCCCGCACCCATGCCACCTTTCTCACCCTTCTCCTCCTCCTAACCGCGGGGGACACATCTCCACCAAATCCTGGCCCTCCACCACCTCCCTCACACCACACATAACACCTTCCGCCTCCACATCCTGCCGCAACCGCCCGCAACTTAGTATCTGTCCCCCTGCTCCCTAAACCCCCCGCGTTTTCATGTGCACTCCTGAACGCCCTTCATCCCGATTCGGTGTGCAACAAACTTACCGCCATCCACGACCTCTTTGTTTCCCGCTCCCTCAATCTCCTAGCGATTACAGAAACCTGGATCCAGGACCACTGACTCTACCTCCCCTGCTGCACTCATCCTACGGAGGTCTCACCTGGACCCACTCACCCAGGCCCAACGGTCGTAAAGGTGGTGTCAGGAATGGACTTGGCTAGCAATGGTGGGACTTCAACCTGCCTTATGGGCTGCAGTACCAGGGCTGGCCAGCGGGTGCTCCACAGCAATCAGAGACTCAACCTTGCAGCCAGCCAAACACCTGGAAACTGGCTTATACTGGTGTATATTTAAGGGATGGCCAGACCTGCAGACTCTGCTTGGTGTGTGTTTCTCCTGGGCCCTGTATCCTGTTCCTGCAATCCTGTCCCTGTTCCTGTTCCTGTCCTGTCCCTGTCCCTGTTTCCTGTCTGATGATTCGTTGCTGACCCTGCTCTGATCCCTGGCTTTGTCTGACCATTCTCTGCTCTGATCCCTTGGCTTTGTCAACTGACCATTCTCTGCTCTGATCCCTGGCTTTGTTCTGACCATTCTCCTGCTCTGATCCTGGCTTTGTCTGACCATTCTCCTGCTTAACCCCATACGTTCTGACCCTCCTGTTGATGATCCCGGCCTGCCTGACGACGCTTGCATTGTATGTTTTGTTATCTGTGCTGGTGGTTTGGTTTGGTTTGTTTTGCACTGTGTTATGTTTTAGTATTGCACTGCGTTTATGTATTGTTAGTGTAATAAATTGTATTGTTATATCATATCTGGAGTCTGCGTTTCCCTGCGTCAGTCACATACCTCTGGTCATACCCTGGAGCCTCCTGACATTACACCAAGGCCAATCCTGACCAGAAGTGGCTGCACAGGGAAGCCATCTTGGTTGTTGATGGAAAGGATGGATCTTGATGAGGTTTGTGTATTTATATCTGCTAGTGTTTGATGACAGAGAATATGCTTATCAGACTCTGAAGGAGTATCCCCCGGGATGAACTGCTAGAATGTATACGGCTCGCTCATGTTCTAGTAGATCAGGGCACAGAGTTCTCTGAGGGTGCAACCTTTGATTCAGGTTTGTGCGGAGTTGGTTTCATCTGGTACCCCCGAATGCAGGGATCAAATGATATTTTTGCCACCATTTAGTGCAGACCAGGTAGAGTCTCCTGGTCCTATGGTTATTAGAGGATGATGTGGATTACTTTCTGGAGCGTTATTCTGCCTGTTCACCACACAGACACTAAGAGATTGTATAAACGCAGTGCAGTCATTGACCAGACCGGCTTTGTGTAAGCTCAGCTTTGTTCAACCCATACTGCAGACATATGGTCAGACTTGTTGCACCCCAGCCTCAGTCAGCTTTACAAAGACCCAGTCCTGCTTCTAATCTATTTCTTCAAAGCTCTATTCCTGCATTCCCAACAGCTCCTCCTGCCCTGCTATCTACCGCATGTCAGTACCCTGTTCCCACTCGCTGTGCACCTATCCTGCCTTTAACCCTGTAAAAAAGCCCTCTGTAGCAACTGTTCCCTCTCCTGTTCCATCCTCCAGCTCTTCTCTGTCTCCAGCTGCTCCATTCGTTTGCAGACTGCGTTTACTTGCAGTGCTCCAGTAGTTAAAACCAAAAAAAGCAAAAATTCTTTCCAACCATACCATCTGCCTGCCAGTATCCAAACCGGTGAGACACCTGCCTTCCGTGGTTCAGCCTGGTGCCCTCGGCACCCCACTTCAGCCTGAGGTCTGTACCCAGCCTGATGCCTCTACCCAGCTTGCTGAATGCCTGTACCCAGCCTGATGCCTGTACCCAGCCTGATGCCTGTACCCAGCCTGATGCCTCCACTCAGCCTGATGCCTCCACTCAGCCTGATGCCTCCACTCAGCCTGATGCCTGTACCCAGCCTGATGCCTCTACTCAGCTGATGCCTCTACTCAGCCTGATGCTTCTACTCAGCCTGATGCCTCTACTCAGCCTGATGCCTCTACTCAGCCTGATGCTTCTACTCACCTGATGCCTCTACTCAGCCTGATGCCTCTACTCAGCCTGATGCCTCCATTCAGCCTGATGCCTCTACCCAGCATGATGTTTCTCTACCAGCCTGATGAAACTGATCCACGCCTGATGATCCTATTAGGCCAGTTGACTCGATGCCCCGCTGTTGAGCCAGACGATCCAATGCCTGGTGACCCGATGCATGCGCTGTCGAGCCAGACGATCCAGCACCAGATGACCCGGTGCCTGCTGTCGAGCCAGACGATCCGGTACCTGATCCGGTATGCCCCGCTGTCGTGCCAATTGACTCAGAGCCTGCCAGCTGTCGTGCCTGGTGACTCGGTGCCCACTGCCTTGCCAGATGACGCGGTGCCCGCTGGCAAGCCAAATGACCTGATGCCTGGTGACCCAGTGCCCGCTGTCATACCTGGTGACCCGATGCCCGCTGTCGAGCCAGACAATCCGGTACCTGATGACCCGGGTGCCCGCTTTTTTGTGCCAATTGAGATCAGAGCCCACTGTCGTGCTTGGTGACTTGGTGCCCACTGCCTTGCCAGATGACGCGGTGCCCGCTGTCCGAGCCAAATGACCTGATGCCTGGTGACCCGATGCCCGCTGTCCAGCCAGACGATCCAATGTCTGACCCCAGTGCCAAGCGGTCATGCCAGTTGACTCGGAGCCCACTGTCCTTGCGGCCAGATGACGCGGGTGGCCCGTCCGCTCGAGCCAAATGACCTGATGCCTGTGACCGGATGCCGCCTGGACCCGCTGTCCAGCCCAGACGATCAATGCTCTGCCTGGGGTCCGGTCATGCCCGCCGACTCGGACTCCACTTAAAGTGCCTGGGGGCCCGAGACCTGACGCTCCGCCTGGGGGTCTGGCGCCCGCCGCTCCGCCTGGGGGGCCCGAGCGCCCGTCGCTCCGCCTGGGGGTCCCGGACGCCCGTCGCTCCGCCTGGGGGTCCGGCGCCCGCCGCTCCGCCTGGGGGCCCGAGACCTGTCGCTCCGCCTGGTGGGGTTGGCGCCCGCGCTAGCCTCCGCCTGGGGTCCGGCGCCCGCCTGTCCCGCCTGGGGGCCTGAGACCTGTCGCTCCGCCTGGGGGTCCGGCGCCTACCGACCGCCGCTCCGCCTGGGGGCCCGAGACCTGTCACTCCGCCTGGGGGCCTCGAGACCGTCGCCCGTCGCTCCGCCTGGGGGCCCGGCGCCCGCTGTCGCTCCGCCTGGGCCGAGACCTGTCGCTCCGCGCTCTGGGGGTCTGGGGCCCGCCGCTCCGCCTGGGGCCCGAGACCTGTCGCTCCGCCTGGGGGTCCGGTGCCCGCCAACTCCGCCTGGGGGCCCGATGCCTGTCGCCCCGCCTGGGGGCCCAATGCCTGTCGCCCCGCCTGGGGGCCGATGCCTGTCGCCCCTCCTGGGGGCCCGCCGCCCGCCGCCCCGCCTGGGGGCCCGATGCCTGTCGCCCCGCCTGGGGGCCCGTGCCTGTCGCCCCGCCTGGGGGCCCGATGCCTGCTGCCCCGCCTGGGGGCCCGGATGCCTGCTGCCCCGCCTGGGTTCCCGGTGCCTGCTGTTCCGCCTGGGGGCCCGCTGCCTGCTGCTCCGCCTGGGGCCCGCTGCCTGCTGCTCCGCCTGGTGGCCCGCTGCCTGCTGCTCCGCCTGGTGGCCCGCTGCCTGCTGCTCCGCCTGGTGGCCCGGTGCCTGCTGCTTCGCCTGGTGATCCGATGTGCCTCTGCCCGGAGTCCAGCCCGATGTGCCTCTGCCCGGAGTCCAGCCCGATGTGCCTCTGCCCGGAGTCCAGCCCGATGTGCCTCTGCCCGGAGTCCAGCCCGATGTGCCTCTGCCCGGAGTCCAGCCCGATGTGCCTCTGCCCGGAATCCAGCCCGATGTGCCTCTGCCCGGAGTCCAGCCCGATGTGCCTCTGCCCGGAGTCCAGCCCGATGTGCCTCTGCCCGGAGTCCAGCCCAATGTCCCTCTGCCCGGAGTGCCTGTGCCCGGAGTGCCGCTGCCCGATGTGCCTCTGCCGGTGTGTCGCTGCCCGATGTGCCTCTGCCCGGAGTCCTGCCCGGTGTGCCGCTGCCCGGAGTCCTGCCCGGTGTGCCAGTCTTTGATATCCCGCCAGTTACCAGACCCGGGCGGTGGAACACTTTGCCCAGCTAGGACTGTTTGGAGCGTCCTGAGGCCGCTCCTTGAGGGGGGGGGGTACTGTCAGGAATGGACTGGCCAGCAATGGTGGGACTCACCTGCCTTATGGGCTGCAGTACCAGGGCTGGCAAGCGGGTGCTCCCAGCAATCAGAGACTCAACCTTGCAGCCAGCCAAACACCTGAAACTGCTTATGCTGGTGTATTTAAGGGATGGCCAGACCTGCAGACTCTGCTTGGTGTATGTTTTTCCTGGGCCCTGTATCCTGTTCCTGCAATCCTGTCCCTGTTCCTGTTCCTGTCCCTGTTCCTGTCTGATTCGTTGCTCTGCTCTGATCCCTGGCTTTGTCTGACCCTCCTGCTCTGATCCCTGGCTTTGTCTGACCATTCTCCTGCTCTGATCCCTGGCTTTGTCTGACCATTCTCCTGCTTAACCCCATACGTTCTGACCTCCTGTTGATGATCCCGGCCTGCCTGACGACGCTTGCATTGTATGTTTTGTTATCTGTGGGTGGTTTGGTTTGGTTTGTTTGCACTGTGTTATGTTTTAGTATTGCACTGCGTTTATGTATTGTTAGTGTTAATAAATTATATTGTTTATATCATATCTGGAGTCTGCGTTTCCCTGCGTCAGTCACATACCTCTGGTCATACCCTGGAGCCCTGACAGGTGGTGGGGTTGGTCTGCTCCTGTCACCGCAGAGCACCTTCCAAGTCCTCCCAAACCCCCCCTCTCTATCCTTCTCCTCCTATGAGGCCCACTGCGTCCAACTATTCTCCCCAACCCCCCTGAAGATTGCTGTGATATACCGGCCTCCTGGATCCATACCCCGCTTCCTGGATGACTTTTCCTCCTGGCTACCCTTCTTCCTCTCCTCTGAGCTACCCACCATCATCCTTGGGGATTTCAACATCCCTGTCAACCTCGACAACCCGGACACATCCCATCTCTTCCACTTAACCTCCTCCTTTGTACTTGCACAGTACATACAATCCACCACCCACTCCGACGGTAATATCCTTGATCTTGTCTTCTCCAACCGCTGCGCTCCCCACAACCTCACTGACACCCCCTTCCCTCTCTCTGACCACAACCTGATTACCTTCTCTATATCCTCGTCCTCCAACGCCTACCCCTCCAAATGTCACACTACTACCAGCCGTAACCTCCGCAACCTTAACCCTGCCCCCCTCCACTCTGCAGCTGATCAACTCCATGACAGCATCCTCCCCCTGTCCTGCCCCGACTTGGCTATGACTGCCTACAACAACGCGCTGTCAACAGCCCTTGACTCACTAGTGCCTTTAACCACACGCAACATCAGACCCCGACCGCTCCAGCCCTGGCAGACTGATCACACCAAAACCCTCAAACGACACAGTCATGCCCTGGAGCGACTATGGCGCAAAACCAGATCCCAACTAGCCTTCACCCGCTACAAATCTGCCTTCCACACCTACACCTCCTCCTTCCACTTAGCCAAACAAGCCTACTTCCTGACCCTCATCAAGGCCCTCTCCTCCAGTCCTCGCCGACTCTTCTCCACCTTCAACTCTCTACTCTCACCACCCCCCCACCTCCACCCAGCACCTCACTCACCGCCCTTGAGATTGCCAATCACTTCAAAAACAAGATTGACACACAATTCGCAAGGACATTGCCGCAACTCACACGCCCTCTCAATCCATCCCCTCTCACACAGCTACCCCCTCATCCCCCCTCCCCCTCGACATAACCCGCAGGGACTTCGTCGCTGCTCAATCTCCCTCCAACCCTGTTCCCCTCATTCAGCTACCCCTTTATCACCCCTCTCCCACGGCCCCACCACTGCTCTGACCTCCACTTCCACCCCACCCTACATTCCTCATACTGAAGCCCCCCCAACACTCCGCACCTTTGACCTTTCTACCATCGAGGAAGTCTCCAATATCCTCTCTGATGCCCGCCTCACCACCTGCCCCCTCGACCCTATCCCCTCATTACTCCTACAAGCTGCCTCCCCCTCCATCCTACGCTCCCTCACCCACATTTTTATTCTCTCCCTCTCCTCCGGCACTTTCCCCTCCCCTCTGAAACATGCACACATCACCCCCCATACTTAAAAAGTCCTCCCTGGACCCCAATGACCCGAACAACCTCAGACCCATCTCCCTGTTCCCATTTACATCCAAACTCCTCGAACGCCTAGTCTACACCCGCCTATGCTCTCACCTCAACGACAACAACCTCCTCGATCCCCTACAGTCCGGCTTCCGTCCCACTACACTCCACCGAAACTGCCCTACTCAAACTCTCCAACGACCTTCTAACCGCCAAAGCTAATGGCCACTATTCAGTGCTCCTACTCCTTGACCTCTTTGCGGCCTTCGACACAGTCGACCACCCCCTCCTCCTCAAAAAACTACACTCCCAGCAAGAGAGTTGCTCACCTGAACCACGACTTACCCACCATCACTCACACACTCATAGCTCCTCCATTGCAGTCACCAGCTGAAATAGCAATGACCGTTCTTCTGCCCATAAGGGTGTATAATCCCTGCTAATTCAGAGATTATACCTGGAACCCATCCACACTCCGCAAGGTTAGTTAGAGAATAGCAGCAAGACAAGAAGACAAACAACAGATAATTAATTACACAATTACAATATTTGATCCGCTCCGTGAGGACGTCGATGACAAAACACGTAGGGCGGAGCCCGTGGATGTGATGTCAAGACGTTTCCAAGCTGCTGGTACGGCGCATGCGCGGCTAGGCTGGGTTTGTTGGTATTGAATTTCATCACGCTGTTTGCGCTGGTGTCGGCTAGGACACCGTTTCTTGTAGGTGCAATGTGGTTTAATAAATTAGAAGTTTTAAGAAGTACTGCACCATGAGTTTCTGTTCTCTTATATCTCGAGTGGAGGTCTGAATATCCAAAGGAGTTGATGGTTTCTTTAGTGGACCCATATGGTATACATTCCCTGCAGAGTATTACCCCTTGGAGACCAGACATCAAGTTCCAAGTGTTGTCTCATCATCTTGCAGATTATTGCTCCCAGAGCAGAAAGCGTTTCTGCTGATTTATAACTCGATCAGCATATTGTTCTGGTGAGTTCATTCCATTTATTTGGTGGTGGATTGACACATGGTGACATTTGTTGGACACTTTTTTTACTTGTCACATAATATATATTTTGGACTTTATAATTTTTTTTGGACTTTATATGATTTGTGTGTGATTTTTCACATTTTATATTTATATATATTTTCTTGCTTTTTTTTTAAATTAGTGCAACCTGTGCAAACCTCGCTCTAAAGCACTTATATATATATATTTGACGTAATTGAACCCTCTTATTACTGCTATTTCATTCTATATATTGTTATGATGTAGGATGGGTGTGTGTTTGCCCCCCCCATGACAAAGGTGACCCTGTTCCTCCCTGGTACAGAACTAAGCCATGATTTCATTGATAACATGTATGTATGAAACCAACTGGCCGCTGATACAAAGGCAGGATGGATCCATGCTTTCATGTTGTTTACGCCAAATTCTGACCCCCACCCATCTGAATGTCACAGCTGAGATCCAGACTCATCAGACCAGGGCAACGTACTTTTTCCAATCTTCTATTGTTCAACTTTAGTGAGTCTGTGCGAATTATAGCCTCCGTTTCCTGTTCTGAGCTG